ATCGTAGTTAACTGAGTTACTACAGTTGTTAATTTAGTAACATGGTTGTTAAGTGAAACTGGCTTCTTCATTGACTCTGCTTGTCAGAAGGTCACAAAAGATGATCACATGATCCAGGACATTTCAACCTTCATAAAAATGAGTCATTAGCCGAGAGTCTGAATTTTGATCATCTGACTATGGGGATGCTGCAACATTTGTGATTGTGAAAAACCATCATAAGTCACTTTTTTTCAGTGTTGTTATAACTACAAACAGTCAGTAAACAAACTATTGTAAGCCGAGGACTACCTATACGCAAGGCCTGGCAGAAGGCAATGTGATGCATGATATGGGAATGCTATTCTATCGTCGTGTTGTACGTTATATGTGCTGATCCAAGAGGACTCATTGGTAGTGTATCCCCACCATTGTTAACTCCCTGCAACTATTGGAAGTATGTGACTAATATTCTCACTGACTCCATTCCTTATGGATGGTTTGTTTTTCTGCATTGGTTTGTATGCATTTGTATATTCCAAAATTTCTGTCCCATCCCAGTTGGATCACGCTTAAGTTGTAACAAGTGGCTGACTCCTAAGTTCAAACCTTACATTGAAAATTTCTTTAGCCTGTTGTTATCCAATGTTTTGAACTGTTGTCTTTAACCAGATTTGCAAGCTCTCAAAATTCTATTTACAAACATAAATGCAAAGCAAAAGAAGAACAGTCTATGTAGGAAAATATTGACTTAATATCGAATGAAAGAATGAATGAAGAAATATATATTTTTAATGCTTGCTTCTCTTTCTTCTTTTTTCTATTTAGACATGAAGAGGATTGCCAGATTGATTTTCCCACTCATTCTTTTGCTGATTTGTGAGGTGAATGGACAGAGGCGCACCAAACCTCCAAAGAAGCGCCCACGTCCTTCAGTCCCTGAGCCAGTTGAACCAACTGACTTCCCTCCACCTCTGCCCCCAGGACCACCCTCAATTTTTCCTGATTGTCCCCGAGAATGCTTCTGCCCCCCAGATTTTCCTTCAGCCATTTATTGTGACAGCCGCAACCTGAGAAAAGTCCCACTCATCCCACCCAGGGCTGAATACGTGTACCTACAAAACAATTTCATTGACAAGATCTCTGAAGAATCTTTCAAAAATGCCACAGGGTTGCGGTGGATCAGTTTGGACAACAACCGCATTGATTCAGTGGGATCACAAGTACTACATAAGTTGGATAACCTTGTCTTTCTGTACATGGAAAAAAATTTCCTTAAGGAAGTGCCCAACAACTTGCCTCCCAATCTTGAGCAACTTAGGCTGAGCAGAAATCGTATTTCCAAAATCCCTGAAAATGTTTTCAGCAAGTTAGATCACCTCCTCTTGTTAGATCTTCATCATAATCAGCTGGATAATGGAGACTTCAAAAAGAATACTTTCAAGGGGCTCAAGAACCTCATGCAACTCAACCTGGCTCATAACCGGCTAAGTAAGATGCCTCCTGGGGTTCCCAAAGCCATTCACCAGCTCTTTCTTGATGAGAATCAAATTGATAATATCCCCAACAATTACTTCAAAGATTTCTCCAATTTGGCGTTCATCAGGCTTAACTATAATAAACTGTCTGACAAAGGATTGCCTATCGACACTTTCAACATCACCAATTTGCTGGTTTTGCATTTGGCATACAACAACCTCACCAGCATCCCCTACATCAGCCCCAAGCTGGAGCACCTCTACTTGAATGACAATTCAATTCAAAGTGAGTTGGCACAAGTTTGTAATTGGTTAGACCTACAAAAGATCCTGTTTGCGGGGGAGAAGGGGAGTGGGAAGAGGTAGATTATCTCATGACTCAACATCCAATTTAAAAACTCCAAAATGATTTACTTATGTTGATGCTTCCAAGGGAACTTCAGTAAGAAATCTTATTTTCCCTCCTTGTTCTTAAGTCATTACTCCATGGGATTCCAAGAAATTATAAATTCCATCTTGCCCAAAGCTGTAACTTTATGACTGTTAGGACAGATGACTGAAAAGAACAGGGTGTGTGGGTACAGAGGAGTCAGACTGAGAGGAAATTGTTCTTTTCCATGTAAATGGTACTATTTCCATATAAAGAAACATTTAGATCTTTCCATATAACAAAAATGGAAATTATTTTTTTATGTTTCTTTGATATAGGGAGAGAGAGAGGACGGGAGGGGAAAAACTCAGCACCCATCCATTTACTTTTCTGTGCTTCTGTCAATCTATAGCTAATAGATTTTGGCTTGTAGGACTGACTTATTTTCCTAAGACTTTTCTCTTTGCTGAGAAAGCACTGCAAAATCAAAGCAATTTTAATTTGTTTGGGTACTAGTTTTGCATTAATTTAAAATAATGAGTGACTGTGTAAAGGAGTATGGAGAGAAAATATCAGTGAGTTTTCACATTTTGTTTCTTTAAATATGATTTTTTTAAAAATGACATATTTCCCATACTATTGGGTAAAGCCGTCGTAATTTCATACATTAGTTTGTATCCTTCAGAATACACCAACATTGTTGTAGAAAAATAAAACATTTTTTCTTCCTGTTCCCAGGAATATGTTCAGCAGGAGTTCCCAACATCTGTTGCCTTAATTGAAAACATCTGTATTTAAGAAATGCAGAATTCCTTCCAGAACATTTTAACAAGGAAGTAATAAAGAAAATAATGAGTCGCTGTACTTCAAACCAACCCCAAAAGCTTGGGTTTTTCTTTCAAGTTAAATTTTTGGCAACTGTAGGCCATAAAATGTCCTTATAAGATAGGCCTCATACAGGAAGGACTTGAATCATACTTCAAACTCAGAATTTCAGTAGACAATCATAATACTCTTTTATATCTTAAAATTAATATATAATTAGGTTCGATTCCCAGTAAGGGTATGGCTAGCTGATGAGAGCTAAATAGCTTGAAATAGATCTATACTAGTCTCCCTTTATTTATTTATCAGCACAATTGCAATCTATGTTTATATGTGTGTATGTATGTGTATATATGTGTGTGTGTGTGTGTGTGTGTGTGTGTTTGTGTGTGTGTGTGTGTGTACATATGCATATGCATATGCATATGCATATACATATACAAAGTTATGCATATGTTTCTGAGCATTAGTCTGAACAGTAAGGATAAAACATTTTTTAGCAGCAGATAGTAATTTTAAATTTTTTTTACTTTTCATATTACTGTTTTAATATACAAAAAGGGAGGAAAAATTAGAAAAATACAAAAGATAAATAACAGAAACAAAGAAAACAAGAAAAATATATAACAGAATAAGAAAAGATCTTGGAGGTCTTCTATCAATATTCAGTAGCAATAGTTATAGCACTTAAACCTGTATACTGCTTCACAGTGCTTTACAGCCCTCTCTAAGCGGTTTTACAGAGTCAGCATATTGTCCCCAATAATCTAGATCCTCATTTTATCGACTTCAGAAGGATGGTAGGCTGAGTCAACCTTGAGCTTGGTGAGATTTGATCTGCCAAAATGCTGGCTGCCGATGATCAGCAGAAGTAGTCTGCAGTACTGTACTCTAACCACTGTGCCACCATGACTCAAGGAGGAGACCCTATACCATTCAAGACAAGTAGTTATTCAGTCTCTTCTTAAAAGCCTCTAGTGATGGAGCACCTATAATTTCTGAAGGCAAGCTATATATATTACATAAAGGAAATAATAGAATCTAATTTTTAAACACTTCATTAAACCATGACCACATATCAATCAGCTTTTCTGCTATATTGAAAATAGCAGCTCATAAACCAAAAGTAACCATGTGTGGTTGATTAAACTTTGTACATCTGGGGTTGCATTGTCTTTCCAACACTGAAAAGTAATTATTTTACTGTGTCCCCACCTCATCCTCCATACACATAGTACTTGATAAAGCCAGCAATCTTCTAATACGGCATGTTCCAGATGTATAATTCAAACGTACATTCACAACATACTGTTTGATCATGGTATTGCTATATTAGTAAACCTATGATTATTAAACAAAATTAGGAAAATACTGGGATGAATCCATATAATACAATTAACTGCGCCGCATCCTTTTTTATTTCCAATATAATGAGATTGACTGACAACTCCTTTTGAATCACTGGTGTATATGCTAGCTGTGAATAAGAATAATTTGTGGAATTTGTGGAACCTCCTTTTAAGATCATACAAAATGTACTTAATATTAGTGACGTAAATGTAATGAAGGCTACACCTTGATTGCTCCATGCCTTTAACAAAGCTGATTGAACAGGGTAGGATTATCTTTAATGTGCTAAAAAAAATTGGATGACCACTTACTGGAAACAAAGTTTTCCTATTCCTATTTGTTGTTATGTTTAATGGTCATGCAATATTTTGCAGTCCAGACAAACAAATCCAAAAGCGGAGCCCAAATAAGAGGTATACCAGAAGCAGAGCAAAGTAGAGAGAAAGAGGGAGAGGGGAGAATTACCACTACTGCTGTCATTCCCAACCCAGCCAATGTGTTGGAAACAGACCTCGGAAGTCCTGGAGGCTTCCCCAGTGCTTGCTGTAGGATGGTTTCTTCCTCTTCTTCCTCTTATTTTTTCCTCTATGTGAATAAATAAGAAAAGAAAGGATAGGTATATCCATCTGAAAAAACTATGTAAATATTTTTAGCCAATCAAATCTAAATGAACACAAACCATCTGGCATGGATTGTGTTCACACATATGAAGGGGTTGGAATCATGATACCATGATGCTGTCTTGCAGATTTTGACACCCCCAGTAAAAATCTGCAAGATGGCATTGTATCAATTCAATCAGTGCCCCACCCTCTTTGTGCATGGATATGGTCTACTATCATACTGCTATGATAATATGGAATATGTTATCAGATCAGGAAACAAATATTTTTTACCTCTTCAATTGGTTCCTTCACCATTAGTTGTACTGGCTAGGGTGCTTAGGTATACAGCTCAGCATCATCCAAAGAGCTGCAGGTTCTGTGCCCCTATCTTAGAGCCATGTTTCTACAACAGATGTGAAAACTTTTAATGCTTCAAATGTTACCAACCCAGCTAGAATGCCCATCGATCCAGCATGACTGGTGCTGAACTGTAACGAAGTCTGAAATAACATAAAACCATATATATATATGTATGTATGTATATATATATATATATATATATATATATATATATATATAT